AAAACTACAGCCCTTTAAGAAGAATCTTGTCTGCCATCTGCTGGACACTTTTTGTTGTGCTCATGTTTAGACGTCCTATTTTGCAAATGCTACCTTCCTGAAATTTGGTATGCTTGTTTGTCTTTGTGTCTATGGTGTAATAATAATGATGTGATTGTGATGCTGTATTTCTGAGCGTTTTATGTGCTGCAGAACACGAACCTGCTGTAAAACAGCAATTATGCTGAGTCAGGCTTGATTTTTAGTAATCTTTTCCTTTTAAATCAATAAATCAAATCAAATCAATACAGTTCAATATAATATGACATTCTTGGGGGTTATGTTCTTAGAGTATCCATGGATTGTGAAAAACACAAATAATGGATAGCTAAACAGTTAGCAGCTACACGCCACGTGGTACTGTACAGCAAATTGTTACAAGGTGTAAATGCTGCACTCCGGGCAGAGCGTGGGCACAAGACATGCATCACATACTGTACTGTACCTTTTTATACGGAACTAAATTTCTGTAAATATTTATGTTATTTGTTTTAAGGATAACCCCTTGAGATGCATCATCTCATTTTCAAGGGGGTCCTTGATTTCTTACAAAATGAGTAAATTATACTGTTTTTAATAATTTAGCTTGAAAACTTACAATTACACATAAGAGAGAACAAATATTATGTTTTTTACTGTACAGTATTTATTGTATTTCTGGTTTCTGCAAAGATTAACTACTAGTAGTTAGGTTCTATGGAAAACTGTGAAAAGCAACTTTGCAGGGCTTCACAGTATTCTGCTAGCTGCTGTCTGTATTTCAAGAACAAACTAAACTTTTCTCACAAACAACACATCAAAAATATTGGGCCTCTAAATATTGTTTTTAACAGAAAAATGTCTACTACATCTAAATCTTTGTCAAAACAATTCTAACAAAAATGCTGATATAGCTATTCCACAACACTAGGTGGCGAGAATGCCCACTTTAATGAATCATCAACCACGAAGACCAGGTTTAACCCGATTAAAGATTTCCCCAAAGCAATCACAGCTGGGTTTATTTTTTCATTACTTTTACAATTTCTCTATATTTTCTGCCACTTAGTGGTGCCCAATCTTGGTCCTTCAGGGCCAGTATCAAGTTTTAATTGTTACTCTGCTTTGACACACCTGATTGGAATGAATGAGTGATTAACCACGCTTCTGCAGTATCTGAAGACCTGCATAGTGGCCCTTGAAGACCAGGATTGAGGATGACTTCTATAAAGTTGCAGAGGCAACAAATCAAGGAGGGAAACCACACTCTCTCCCCAGCAAATAGCTCCAGCTCCTCTCCCATGGTCTTCTCCCACTAGTCATCCTGATCAGATGTTCAAACCACCTTAGCTCATTCATTTTAATGTGAAGGAGCAATGACTAATCCAAACTTCCTCCCAGATACCAAAGATTCTCACTATATCTTTGAAGGAAGCTCATTTGAGCCGCTTATATCCAGGGTCTCATTTTTCAACCATGTTCCAAACCTCATGATCAAAGGTGAGGGTTTGAATGTAGATAAATCAGAAAATCAAGAACTTTGCATTTTAGTTTAGCCTTCTCTTCACCACTAAAGACCAGAGCAACATCCTCATCACTGAGGATGAGGCCCCGATCTGTAGATTCATCTATTTTTATACTACCGTCAATCATGAGCTCCACTTCTTAAGGTGCTGGTGTTTTTTAGAATACAAAAGTTTCTTGTTGACAAGATTAAGAAAAAGCAATACAAACCTTCAAACATAGATAAAAACGGCTCCATTATTGTTTTGGCTTCTAAGGCACAAAATAACAATGTGCATTTGTGAAATAGGTTGCTTTGTATCTCAAGTCTACCAGGATCCACCAGAGGCTAAGTTTTCAACGAGTATCCAAACTTAAGTACTTGTACCCGGTTTTAGAAACACTGGCACCGGGACACACATATTTAGAAGTAAGTGAAAAGGATGTCACTACATTAAAACTCTTACCTGTCCTTCAGCAGATGTGAGTGCAGCTCCTGTGCTTCCATTTCTCTTTTTGGTGGGAACAAAGTAAAACTGCAGTGTGCATGTCCTGGTGAGTAGAGGACATTTAYTCTCTTTCTGCTGCAGGTCACTGTATGCTCGCGCCAGTCTGCCAACTTCTCTGTCACCTCCAAATGCAACCACTTTGACCACAGTCAGTGTTTCTGCTGTGTTCCCTTCATCGACGCTCAGGATGGGCCTCCTGCGGAAGCACACCTGTTTCTCAAGGGAAAGTGAATCCAAGGAAGATGGACAAACCTGCTTCACGAGGTGCCTTGGATGCTTGAGTTTCCCCCCAGTTCTTATGAAGTCTCTGCCACTATCTCCATGATAACCCATGCTCTCGGCTCTGCGGGGCRTCTTAAAAAGTAAAGAAAAGCGCTCTAAGCCCAAGAGGGATTTGGACTTTTTCTTGGGTTTTTTTCTAGGCTTGGGTTTGCTGTCTTGTCCTGGCTCTGTGTCTTCATGAGCTGCGTCCTCACCGATGTCACTTTCCACACCGGATGAAGTGCACGGCGCAGACAAGCTAGAGGATAGAGAGTTGTTGGAAACCATAGAGTCCCTCGAGGACGAAGACGCCACTGAGATGCTATGGTTCTGAAATTCCTGATCCACTTTGTTCAAGTCCAACTCAAACTCATCGTCCACACTTGTCTCATTGTCGTCATCATCCTCATCCATGTCTGCTCGGAGGAAACACTCTGGAGGAGAATCCAGGTCTGTATCAAGTCCAAGTATGTCCTTCAGAACATCTGTGAGAATTAGAATAAAATATTTGTTGGATGAACCAGTTAACCTCTTCAAAGTGCCTCAGAAAATGTCAGAAAAAAAAATCCCCAAACGAATTTAGACCCCTTAAACTTTTTTGACTACAAGAGAAAGACTGGTCTCTCTGTAAAGGTATAACATGCTATTTTTTTAACCTAAGCAGTCAAAATTATTGTAACTTAAACTAGTTTATAGTTAGTACTTTACTTTAGGCCAACTGGTTGGCTCTGGAGAAACCAAATATAATTTCAGTTGATCAAAAGAGGTGTMAATCRAAGGGGGAGGGCCTATACTATRGTAACTTTTATCAGATTATATGAGGCTCTGTAGTCAAGTCAACAGGACCACCTCCAGTGAAAAGTAAATGAAAGTAAATGAAAAAATATTTACCAAAGTTATCATCCTCCCACGAGCATGTGTGACATATGGGAAGGGGCAGCATGAAACTCTCAACAGATCCTAATAAAGACAAGAAAATACTGAGAAAAACAACAACACAGAACATTCTCTTCAGAACTTTGCGAGCAGAATTTAAACTTTTTAAAAAAGGCTTCAGTTTGGTTTCTGTGTCCACATGTAGAACCGTGGGACTGAAATTCAGACTATTTTGGGGCGACTTGTTTCTACAGCATTTAATTCCAGGTTTATCAGAATCAGAAACACTTTATTGCCATTGTCGGTAAMAAGTTACAGACTAGGAATTTGCTCTGGTGTAATTTCACATTAATATATTCTAATAATTAATTTTCACATTTCAGACAAACTGGGGAAATCTGAAACAACCCACATGGCAAAATCTGTGTGGCCCAGTTCTGACCAACACAATGCAGTTAGCCCAGACAAGAATGATGGCCCTTTGGTGCATAGATGTTTTTTTTACCAGAGGTATTCTATTCATGRGCCATCACCATATAAACCAAACCACAACTGGGCCAGTAATGGCATYTTAAAAACAGTGCCCCCCTAAAACAGGCCTTGTGACACCACTGCCCACACCTGTCTGCTATGTGGGAATGTTGATGTTCATATGGTTCTTAAATGATAAACTGTTTAAAATATGGACAAAAATCTATATTCTTAAATCAAGAGTTCTTCTTGTCTTTCTCCATTYAAAGTTTTCTTCTGGGGCCAGGTTTGGAGTTACAGAACTATGTTTACATTGCTAAGCAGAACTTGGCTGACTCTCACAACTGAATAAGAATGACTTACATACAGTATTTATATTACTTATCCATCATATTCTTTGTCTTACCATTGTCTGGACAACTACTCGTTGGACCAGGGATGGTAAGACTTTTACTAAGCTTCATTAAGCTGTGGAGCAGACTCCCGTGTGCTTTTTTGGAATCTGCCATTGAGGCTGCTGCTTCCATGCTCCCAGTGATAGACTCCATAAGCTGCTCCAGCTCCTCTGGATGCTTCTCCTGGAGAAAAATATTAGGAAAGACCTCTTATAGAAAGAGAGAATGGAAGAACGGCGTGATAAAAAGTGACATATGATGTTCTGATTTACTTGCAGGGAGGCGTGAAGTGCCTGCAGGTCACATTTGTTACCAAAAGCAGCCTGAAAACTGTGCAGGATGAGGGTGGGGATGAGGTCTCTGGTGGAGCAGTGGCCGGAGCTCAGCTGCTCAGATGCCAACTGGACCTCMAGAGGGATGTCATCATCTGGGCTCACCAGCAGCACCATTCTGACAAAAAGATCATTTCACACATTTAATGTGTAAAAAAAACATTTACAGCAGCTTTTTGTCATCAGACTTCAGATGTTCTCACATGGTTTTAGAAGAGGTGAGGTGGGAGGAAAGACCCTGCTCACTCCTTATCAGACGCTGAAACCAGATGCCTGCAACAGTAAAGGAATTTATGGACAAAAATCTAAAAACATGCTTTAATACAAAGATTTATCTGACTGGGTCCAATCAGAACTTTTGAGATTGAAGTCGAAAAGTCAAGAAAAAGTTGAAACGTTTCCATAATAAAGTTGAAATGGCAGAATTAAAAAAAAAAAAACAATCGAAAAAGAAAATGCATTCATATGCAGTTTATCAGGTTTAACTTTTATTTGTTTTGTTTTATTTGTAACAGTAAATCAAACTTTGTGTAACTTTTCAAGTTTTTCCTCAACATTGTACATTTTCATATTAAATTGTATTTTGGACGTCTTAATTTTAATCACTTGAATTTATTCTTGATATTTTTACATTAATCTAAACATTTAATAACCCTCCWGCTGTCCTTGGGTCAAAATGACCCATAATGCTTCCATCTTAACACAGAGATCTCTATGTTGACCTGGAGGCAGCAGGAGGGTTAATCTCAATAATTTATCTTCAATCTCTGCATTTGAAATTTAGTCTTGACATTTTAAATACAACCTTCCTTGAGTCAAAATGTTAACTTTAATGAACATTTTGCATTTCATTTTGACATCACAAACTTKATTCTAGCATTTTAACTTTTATCTTAATATTTAATTTGAACATCAACATTATTTTAATCTCAGCATTTTAATGACATTTTGACTTTATTTTGACTAAATTTTAACTTTATTTTCAGCACAAAATAAATACTAATAGTATTTAAATCTGTACTAAAGAGACAAAATGCATGTAAAAAACAATTACCATTAATAAAAATGTTTCATGCGTTTCTTTTACATTTTGTCTAATATCTTTGCGTGTTTGAGCTACTTTCCCACCTGGTGCTCGAAGCTCCTGCTGGATGATATTCAGCAGGTTTTTGGAGGCGGAGCTGCAGGGTTCAGGCCAGGTCAGGAACTTGTGGAACAGCAGGTAGGCCTCCTGCAGCACGTCACAGTCTGCAGCTATATGTGGTGCCTACAAGAAACATAAAAATGTGTTTTTGAAAGKTATGAAATGCTAAAAACATTTTATAATTCAGTGCACATTTAAAGCAATATTCACTTTATTATTTTACTCATTATGTTTGGGGCGCCAAGTGTAAAATGTTAATGTCAATAAGACATTTTTAGTATTTAACTCACTTTCTGAGTTAAAATCCTAGTCAAAACGTTTCTGCGGACATTTTGTTGTTAATTAGCTCCCTCATAAAATTGATAAATTATACCAAAGGTGAAATCTAAATGTTAAACAATGTATGTACTGTAAGTATTAAATCCTAAATCTAAACGTGTAAATCTAAATGTAGTTTGCATTAAAGTATTTGGGAATGGAACACAGCCTTTGCTGTTGGCATGCAGCTTTTAATGTGGAGTCTTCATTCTGCGACAAAAACTGCTGCTAATGCTGCTAATTCTGCTAATGCTGCTAATGGTGCTAACACTTCTAATGCTGCTAACACTGCTAATGGTGCTAACACTTCTAATGCTGCTAACACTGCTAATGCTGCTAACACCGCTAATGCCGCTAACACTTCTAATACTTCCCTGCAAGATGTCAAACTTGCAGTTGTGCCGGTGTCTGAGATGCACTACAAACTGCTGGACAACAGGTTCAATTTACATTTTTTTTCAATTAACACATTTTTAATTTTAAATGCTAACTTAAGCAGCCTTAGTGATTGCTTTAGACACAGGATGATGACGTCACATTAAAAGATGCACACTAACGGCAAAAGCTGTTATGCATTCTGTGGTGGAACTAATACTTTTAGGTTTAAGCCAGTAATTCATGACATATTTTAATGACCTAGGTTTTCATGACATGCTGTTCATCTGCAGATAGAATGATTAAAGTCAGAACAAGATTTGCTAATAACAGTCATTCTTAGATATCACTTGTGTTTATCTTTGTGTTTTCCTTTGACCTTGTATCAAATCTTGCTAAGATGACATAATGGTGTTTGTTGATATATATATGAGGCCTCTCGAGTGAGTGACACAGTAGTGACAGGGAGTGACAGAGGGAAGCAGAGGCACAGAGACAGGGCAGGTTGTTCTCTGTGTTTCCTGTTGTTACAATAAAACTCAGCTGATCATTCCACAGACTACCTTCATTCTTGGACCACGTATTTCTGTCTTTGTTAGATAAATATTGCCATAACATATTCCAAAATAAATACAAACTTTATCATTTAGCCACAACATTTAAGGTTTAACTTTTACATTTAGATTTACACATTTAGATTTAGGATTTAATATTTACATATACATTTATATTTAACATTTTGTAAAAATTAGCTAACAGAGAACTAAATAACAATACAATGCTAGCAGATTTTTTAACTGGGATTTTATAATCAGAAAGTGTGATAAATATTTCAAATGACATTGTTTAACATTTTATTTTACAGTTATAGTTATTTTATAATTACAGTTAGTTATAGTTATGACATGAACTCACTCTGATCAGAGCTGAGAAGAACAAGAGAGTCAGGGGCACMACCAGCTCATACTGGCACTGCTCCAGCACCTGGAAGAGGAATAAAAATATGAAGTGAAACACTTCTATCGCCAACATCACAACAAAAAATACACTAATAATGTTTCACCTTTTTCGTTTTTTCCAGTATTTTTTGTAGAAGAATGAGGAAGTTGTGAGGATCCCTCTTCACAAGTTCCTCCAAACACCAGCGGCTAACACAGAGTCCAGCTTATTYGAAAGACAAAAACACACAAAACCTGAACTGACGAGCACTTCTGCTTTCATGTTTCACTCCAACAGTAAAGAAAACTTTTCAACACCGTATATTCACAAAAATTTGGGTACTATGAATACAAACACAACACTTAATGAATTCACTTATTCATTTCTGAATGAATTTTGTTAGAAATATCCAACTGATCTTGCATGATCCACCCACAAGCTATTCGTCACCACTTTCAGATCCACTTTCTTTAGAAAGTTGTCCTCCTTCGCTGTTTGTCAGACATTTAAATTAGCCTTCAGATTATAGTTTGATAGACYAGGGGTGTCCAATCCTGGTCCTTGAGGGTCGCTATCCTGGTTTAGAGGTTTCTCTGCTTCTACACYTGAATGAATGAGTAAYTAACAAGCTTCTGTAAAACTTGAAGAGGTAATTTAGTCATTAAATAAAGTGTGTTGGAGCAGAGAAAAAAGTTAAACATCCAGTATCCTCAACTGGACACCTGTAGTTTAGACATTTCAAGTAAGACAAATCTGTTTTTAATCATGCTGTCACCTAAAAGCTAACATGGATTCAGGTCTTACCATTCCAAAGATGCTTGTCAGGTGTGTTGAGGCCCAGGTGACAGAGGCAGCGCTCAAGGACATGCTGGATTCGATCTTCAGTGCATGAGCTCTGCTCCATCGTCTGCAAAAACCACCACAAGCTCTAGATGAACAACAGGTGTAAAACCCACAGGAAGACCACACCGTCTGATGGGTTTCTGGTAAACCAGGAGATCCCTTTAGTCAATCCAGACTTCCTGTTTCTGATGTTATCAGCAGATAAAAGGTCTTTATTGCTCCGTTTGACAGATGATCCAAAACTTGAGGATGGAGAACTCACAAAGACAAGTGTCCACGGTTCAGCGCAGAAAAACAGCCCGGTACTTCCTATTAGTGAGACGCAGACAGAATGAACCGGAGATGAGCTAGCAGAAAACAGCCACAACTTCTACTTTTTCTTTTTATGCCACCTGCCTCCAGTTTTTGTTACAGTTTGTTTCCTTTTCATGACTCAACGTTGGGATGGAAATTATTCATACAAAAGGGCAACTTCCTATTTGATCACACAGACGTTTTTTTAATCAGTCAAAATTGTGACTTTAAAATTCCAAAGACCAGCTTTTATTCAGATGTACACTAAATACACAATCTTTTTTTTTATTTAGGCTTCTCCAATAAAGGGGTCTCCTTAGCATCCATCTCATCAGATTCATACCTATGTTTCCAAGAAGTGTATGGTAGGTGGTCCTACATTTACTTTGTTAACAGTGCTTAAGTAATTTTTTGAGGATTTCTAATTTTACCAAATCTATTTTAAAATCATAAAATTTACTTTTAAATTGTTACATTCAAAACTTACAAACAATGAAGGATCTATGTTCCCTAGTACCTATGTTCCCCGCTGTGTTCCGTAATACTTATGTTCTCTGCTGTTCCCCTGTAAATACAGTATATTCTTTTGTACCCATATTTCCCAGTACATATGTTCTCCTGTACCTGTGTTCCCTGGTACATATCTTTCTTGTGGTCATTAATTAAAGTCACGAAATTTGCTTGGATCCTTCTTCAGTTATATTTTAATACAAATGAAACATGTACTGATTTCCATTTCCTGCATTCAACTGGGGAACATAGGGATCTAAGGCAGGGGTTCCCAAACTTCTCCATGCCAAGGCCCCCAAATAACTTTAGCTTCTGGTAGGACTAAATTTGACAGGGATTTGCAATGCAAATAAGCAGGAACAAAGAAAATACAGTTGTGGCTGTATTTAGATTAACAGAAACTACACTGAGATGTCTTTGAGGGGCTTTTAACGGCTCTAGTTCTAATTTGTTTGTAACCACACACAGTGATAATACACCACAGAAGAGTTTATCAAACAAAAATAACCTATAATTAAAATGAAATATGAATGTGAATTAAAAATGCTCCAACACACCTGATTTGAATGAATGGGTGATTATCAGGCTTCTGCAGACCTTGGAAGAGGTAATTCATAACTAAATTAGATGTTTTGGAGCAAAGAAACAAGTAAAACATGCAGGGCTGCAGCCCTCGAGGACCAGGATTGCCCACCCCTGAGAGTATAGAAGGTATTTTTAAAATGTACTTACGAGGGTACGTACTGGGCATTTATGGAGGTACAAACAATGTTTTTTTAATGTAAGTATGAGGGTACATACAGGATACTTAGGAGTGTATATACAAGGTTTTTACACTGCACTTACAATAGTACATACAGGGTAGTTAGGAGACTATTATACAGGGTTTTTAAGTGTACTTATAAGGGTACATATCATAATATGTCTATGTATGTACTATGTGTATCTACGTGGATTAGACTGTTTCATGAAGTGACATGTTAGTCTGTGCTGTCCATCAAATTCCTATATACAGTATATTTTATTTTGGTTATAATTGTTCCCCTGCATGTTTGTCCTGTAGGATGTTAATATGAATCAGCTGCAGAAGAAAAACTACACTTTTTAAAATTGTTGCCGAAACTTGCAGACTTGAGCAGGAACTACATCTTGAGTTATTACACATTAAGTAAAAAAAAAAAAAA